AACTGAGGCTGAATACATGTCGCTCAGCGACTGTAGCCGCCAAGTCGTCTGGGTTAAGATGCTCCTCAAGGAGATCGGTTACCTACTTGGCGCACTCCCTATCTGCTCGGATAACCAAGGAGCGATATTCATTGGCTCCAACCCTGTAACTGAGAGGCGGTCGAAGCACATCGACATACGCTACCATTACATCAGGGAACTGATTGAGGAGAAGCAAGTCGAGCTCTTCTACATCAGTACGGATGAAAATCCAGCAGACCTGTTCACCAAGAACTTAGGCCGTGTCAAATTCCTTAAGTTTAGAGGAATGCTCGGACTTAGATTCTATGAATCGTCCTAGAGCACCATTGGCAGCGTTATGCGCCTAGTACGCTTATGTGAGTCTACGACGCACTAAGCGAGGGGGAGTGTTGAACTAGGAAGGCGCCTACCGGGCTGCCGGGTTCAATCACAGGCCGGACCGGTTCTATGGGAAGCTCCGGGTCCGTGATGTCATCTATGATGTCATCTGTGTGTTATCACATGGCTACGCCACTTGCCTTGTATGTCGTGGGAACATACTATACAGTAGCTTAGATAAGCGGTCTCCTCATGTATATAAGGACCCCAGTAGCGTAGCTCAATCCCCAGTACCTTCAGTCGAAGTACTTGCGTGTGCATCAAGCATCAGCAACCTTGCAGGTAAGTTGTGAGGGCGCACCACTGCGTGGAGCTGCCTGCTCAACACAAGAACCTGAAGCGGCGCGGAAGAGAGGTGGCACAGAAGAGAGAGAGAGCCGTACCGCTCGTCTACTCAGGAGACCACGGCAGGGCACGATAGCACAGCGGGGCGGGAACAACAACATCATAATGACGGGGGACGGGGGCGCGGCGGACGACGCGCCATGCATGCACGGTGACTACGCGCAGTCATGGAAACACGGTGGCCAGCGAGCACGTACCTTAGTTATCGAGCCTCTTCGTTCGTTCTGCCTGTACACCCCGTCTTTGTGGTCTCCTCGCACCCTCCTCTCCCCGTGTTCTGTGTGTCCCCTATTTGCCCCGTGTTCTTCATGTTCAGCGCCGCCCTTTCTCGGCGCTGGGCTTGAACACGTGTTGTGCAAGTTCCGGGCCGCGCGGCGGGATACCAGTCGAACGGCCGACGAGGACAAGCACGCAGACTTGGCTGTTGTCGATGTTGGAGTCATGGCGGACCTTTTGTACGACAGTCATGGCACAGCTTATGGAAGCGAGGAGGGTGGAGAGGTGGAAGTCGATACCCTCGAAGAGTGAGTCAAGTTGAATGGGGGTCTGAGTAGTAGCGGAGGAGAGTGGTCAAGGCGGCACTGTTGCGCGTTGCGCAAACTTGCGCAAGGCAGCCGCGCGTCTGCCCTAAAGCGAATTGCAACTCCGCTTTCAGTCACATGGTGTGGGCTGCATTGCTGGCACTTCTCCTTCACGACGGCGGGCAACCCATCTGCATCCTCTCCCATCCTCGATGCCCCCTCAGGCCTCAGGCCTCACTACTCAATGTCGGCAGCCCAGCGAGGTTGCGCAATGGTTGTCCCATTGTCGCAGCCTCGCTTGTAGCGATTGCATCTCAGGTCGGGGCACTCTGACCGGAGCGGCTTGAGTGCCCTGCGGCTCTTCTGGCATCCGCATCACCGCACCCTGCATCGCCGGTTCGGTCTCCACAGGGCCATTGACAATGGGAACCTGTGCCTGTGTCTTCATCAACAGCTTCGGCCGCCCTCGCCATAGGCCTCGGTGCGAGCAATGTCGGCACGTTCAAGTCGGCGGCGTACCTCACGGACCTCGTACTACCGAGCTCGAAGGTGAGCTTAATCATGGCGGATGTGCAGAAGCCCTCGAGCTGAAGTATATACACTCACCGTATCCTTGAACAGTTGCCGCGACCATCACAGCAACGTCAGTTCTCCATCAGTTGCGCGGCCTGAGAATACCCAGGGACGGTCTGCGCAGTCAACATACCCCTGGAAATGGTGGACAAACCCGCTTAATGTATGTCATCTCGTTCTAGGCAGTTCTCATTCACTGACATGATGACAGCTGTACCGCAGTCCATAGACTGCTGCTGGATGCGTTGCGCAACTTCCCCGAGTCGGTGTCAGACCTTCGCGCACTCGACGCACCGAGGTCGGTGTATGGCGCGTATGTTGTGTACATTCAAGCGTGACCGTGGTCGAAGCATGCAGACGAGCCGCACGGGGGCTAGCTTTGGTTCACCAGTTCAACAAGTACAACGTGGACGCGGCACTCTTTCCGGAGCTTGCGAACGTGCCCTCGAGGCTCATTGGCACAAGTAGTGAGAAGTCTGTACTTCGTGTTTGTAGATAGATTGAATGCAATACATTTTTGTTGCATACCTGATTGCCTGAGTGATTCCGTTGAGCTCTGGTATGTCTACTGGCCTCCTGGCCCCATGACCTAACCGTCTAACGCGTCTCTAACTCCAGAAATGGATCTACTTAACCTAGAGACTCGATCTAACCAGTCTAAGTGCCTAAATGCCTGAATTAGGCAAGTTAGATGCGAAAGTCACTTTCCTGATGTGCCCTCCTCCCGAAATGCCTAGCAGACACTCTGCCGGCCAGCCTCTCGAAGGTATGACAGCTCCTGAACGAGACGTTCACGCGCGCAGCAAAGGACGAGTGGAAACGCTCGCCGCGCTCCACCAAGATTAGTGTTGTGGAGGGCTCGGGCTCAAAGCCCAAGCCTGGCCCGGCCAAGCCTGAGCCGGCCCTAGAAAGCCCGGCCCAAGCCTGTTGAGAGCCCGCTCCGAGGGCAGGGCTTTGTAGACTGTGAGCCCGAGCCCGGGCCACAAGCCCAAGGCTCCTATTACCATATATGGATGGATATGACTCAGCGGTGGCTGTGGCGCCACTGGGCCGCGCGTACACTCCAACCTCGAGTCTGAGTCCCCGCCTAAACCGTTGCCCGACCCAATCTTAGTGCCCAGCACCCGACACGATATCGCTACCGCCGTCGGCGCCGCCGCATGGATTCGGAAGGTGGCGCGGGGTCAATATGCCAAGGTCATCTCAGGTAATATTATCCATTGCACGACCCCCGACATCTGCGCTGACGACACAAGGTCTGTCGCAGTTGCTGGCAGTCTGCTGGCAGTAGGATACCGCCGTACGGTGCACTATAGTACGCTCGCGAGTATCCGTTCAAATTTACGCAATGACCGTGTTATCGACCCTTGAACGCCTGCCCACCATCGCGCAGTTGGACGTCTTGGCTGGTACCTGGCCTTACCATGTGACGAGAGAGCAACGGACTCGACACTGACTATGGTCAGCTTCCCCCCCCCGTTCTTCCTTCCTATGTGCGTGCGATCATCATGCCTGTAGTTGATGAACAGCCTTCACTGCGACAATGGCGACCTACCCCAAAACAGCCACGAACAGCCGTTCTTGCTCCCAGTACCACGAAAACGGTTGCCACGCAAGAACGGGTATGGTTCCTGTACTCCCTGGCTCTCTTGCTAGTGCCGTTGGTCGTCTTCCTCCCTGCCGCTAAATGTTTGGGCATCATCCAATCGGGCCTAACGGGCAAGACGACATGGGTTGCCAGTGCATTTATGCTCACAATGGCATATTTCTACGCTCTCTGCGCCATCATCATATATGGTAAGTCTGTTAGTCACTATACCGATGGGTGTTCCATTCATTGGCTCTGGTGTTACTAGCCGGGCACCGTTTCAGGACATTCTATCGCTTTGAACGTCTTCTGCCGGACCAGGCGCGCTACCTCCGTCGCCGCTCACACGTCATAAACATGCGCGCAGATCGCTTGCGACGACTTGTTCAGGACAGGCCATACACGGTGTTCGTGCTTGGGACGGGTACATGCAGTGGTCACTCGACCGAGATTCAATCGAACTCACTCGCACTCAGTGAGTGATTTTACAAATGCCATATCTACACGCAGATGTTCAAACCGCTATGTAGCCGTACATGGTGACGACACAATTGCGGACATATTGCTCGCCCTACATCGCCACAATGTCGTGCCTGGGCCACCCTCTCGCGTGAATCATTCATCACCTTACCTGACGATGTCAGGCCGCATAGCACCTCTCCTCCCGCACGAAAGTCTCTGCAAACTAGGTGTACGTCCGCTGACGCACCTGACGCTCCGAATGCGATTTTTGGGCGGCACAGGTTTGTGGGCATCTCACATTCATGACGTATCGCAAATTTGATCTATTTAGCGCACAGATGAGAGTCCAGGGCCATCAAAACGCATATCAAAGCCAGCGCGCAAAGTCGTTGACCCAGACAACATAGAACGCGGACTTGGAACGACCCAGAAAGGCGCTCAGAGTGTGCGAGGCGCGGAGCGTAGTGCAGATGCAGCCGCTGGGCCCGCTGTAATGTCGCGGTCAAGTAGTAAGTGGGTCAAATATAGACGGCAGGGCTGAACTGATGTAGTCCTAGATCACACAACCCCCAGTACCATCGTCATAAATTCCGACTCCGAGACAGAGTCACGGCGTCTTGTGTCAAAGGGCAAGAAGCGTCAGGTAGTAGTGGAGAGCGCGGAGGATGAGGACATTGAGGAATTGGCCAAGCCGCGGAAGTCCAAGAAAAGAGGTGAGTAGTACTGGAGTCTTATTGCGGGTCAATTGATCAATGTATTGGCAGTACGGCGAGGTGACGAGGACCGAAATGGAACCAAGAATCCCCATGTCAATGACTCAGACGAAGAGAGTGACGCTGAAGCACATGCCGACGGGACGCTCCGTGACCTGGACCATATCCAGGCTCCGTCAAATGTGGATGATGATCGATTGAAAAAGACAGCTGATGTGAACGAGTTCTTCGACAACGTATACGATCGTGTCAGTGACAAGAGTACGCGCACTCAGCGCGTTCGCGACTGTAAAGTTTGCCGGTGAGTCTAGCAGTGCATAACACGGTGTCAAGCTACTGACATAATAACGTTGCAGACGCCGGAAAGTCACAAAGTATGCCTTTGTCTCCGATGTAACCACTCTGCGTCGACATCTAAGTGCCCATCATGCGGTGAGCTTTGCCAGGATTATGCATGTGCTCGTCTACTCACTGACATTGTATCAGGCTGACTATCGCCAGTGGTGCACAAAGACAGGATTCACGTCACAGCTCCCGCAAGATATCTCTGCCCGCAAAGTCGAAGCAGCAAAGGCGTCTATGACGCAGGGCAGCCTGGACAAACATGTCCAGAAAGTCACACCGGCGGAATATATTCAGCCGTACACAGACGAGCTGTTCAAGTCAGCAGCTATTCAGTGGTTGGTCGAGACTGATCAGGTGTGCAATCATTCATCCACTCCAATCCAACACGGCACTGAGAGCCGTGACCGCTGACGTGTATTCATTTGTAGCCTATCGGCGCTTTCGAGCACCCATCGTTCATCAACATGATCAACGTAGCCTCACGCGCAAAATCTGGTGTAGTCATCCCATCGCGTTGGACTACCCGTCGCAAAATCATCAACATTTTTCATCAGTATCTCCGCGATCTGAAGACACGACTCAATGTACGTTCGACGGCACGATTCAGTGATGAACACTGATCAATGAGATGTGCCGCAGGGACCAACAGTGGTAGGCTCAATTAGCCTCACTTGCGATGCATGGCAGGCAAGCAACGTTGACGGGTACTTTGCGGTGACTGCTCACTGGGTAGAGGAGCGTACACCGAAGAACTGGACACTTGAAGGAGCACTTATCGGGTTCGTACGTATGAATCAGTCACATAACGGCAAGAGGCTCGGTCAAGCGCTCTACAAGATTGCAAATCGGGTGGGTATTGCTGAGCGTGTAAGTGCTGTGCCACCTTACTGTATCTTGATGGCTTGTGTAACCCAGGCTGGGACTAGATCTTGATGGTAACGTGCGACAATGCCAGTTCAAATCTGACAATGATGACGGAGCTTGCGGTAATGATGAAGAAGCACCATCCGCACAACCAATTTGACGGATTGCGCCGACGGATTGGTTGTCTGGCGCACATCGTAAACTTAGCGACGCAAGCATTGATTGCTGCGCAGAGCAAGGCCCCGCACTACGACCCACACAAACCAGAAGAACATGTACCTGATGTGACTGCTCGTGTACGTGACGAGGTTGGTCTTGTACGTGCAATCTCAGTCAAGGTAATGTCACAGCTGTATTATAATTTGTTTCTCCGCTTACACCGCATGCGGCGGCGGCATATAGGAACGCTCCTCGAGCCAGCGCAAGGAACACTTCCGCAAGATACAAGAGACGGCAGATGTGGAGCCACGCCATCAGCGAACTCTTGTCTTGGACATGAAGGTCCGCTGGTCATCTACGTACATGATGCTTAATCGGGCATACAGTCTGCGGAAGGTGAGTGCCCACAAAGAGTGCAACACACGTAATGAGGAGCTCTCTATACAGTACATCGAGCAATTCATGACGGAGTTGTCGCGCAAGGCGAAAGAAACATCACGGCTGAAGCTCTTGGCCCTCATCCCTACCTCTGCTGAATGGCGCCGTGTGAAGCTTTTCCAAAAGGTGCTACAGGTACGTCGTAGAGGTTCAATTGAAAGTCCACTGGCAGCGGCTCATTACGAACGCCTGGACGGATTGCCACAGATCTCCGATAGATGTCAGCAGCGATTCTCGTCCGAGAACAACCCCGCACTCCACCTTGCCCTTCCTGCCCTCGAGGAGCTTCATTCCGCGTGGTCAGCTCTCCTTGACGATCACGAGTACAGCCACTTTACGAACGGTCTTCAAGCTGGTATTGACAAGATCGCCGAATACTACGACAAGACCGGCAGTAATGACGCATACGTGCTATCCCTTGGTGCGATCACATGTATCATGTACTAAATGTTTCCGTCATGTACTCATGTTATCACTAGTCCTACACCCAGAGCAACGTCTCAACTACTTCAAGAAGAATTGGTCAGATCAGCCTGAACAGATCACGGCTGCCGAGGAGCTTGTGAGGACGATTGTACGTACATAAAATGATCCAATCACCAGTCTTCTAATACGTCCTTGGCGGCGCAATTACTAGTTCCAAGAGCGGTGGCACAATGCCCGTCATACCAAGAGCTCCGATGGACCATCAACGGTCGTGAAGAAGAAGAAGGCGGGGCTGGCAGGGCGGAATTATGCAGCAACGTTTGCTGATCTATCTAGTGACGAAGACAGTTGCCGTCCGACACACCGGTCCCCTTCCCATACCGTTACTACTGATCATGCTGCCGAAGGTGCAATCGATCCGAAGAATGGGTGGGAGAAGGAGTTCAATCAATATCTCAACCTTGATTGGGAATCGGAGAATGTAGATGAGGACTCAGACAAGTCAGCCATAGAATGGTGGGGTGTACGTATATTCAATCTTGCTTCGCATGCGGGCCGTAGCTCAATATGATTTCAATCTTTTCGCAGATGAACGCGCATCGATTCCCGACGTGGGCATTGCTTGCGCGCGACTACCTTGCCATCATGGCCACGTCCGTCTCAAGTGAGCGTGCATTCTCTAGTGCTGGCATGACCATTACAAAGAGGCGTAACCGGCTCAAGGGTGACGTTGTCGAGGCATTGCAGGCGCTGAAGTGCGCATTCAAGAGGGCGCTGTTCTTACATGATGTCGGCCCTTCCTCGGCCACTGAAGAGGCTCTAGAAGTGGAGGATGATGAGGTCTCAGGTGCAGGAGAAGTCTCAGCGGCGGACAAGGCGGTCGGCGATGCAGAGCTTACTATAGAACTTGATGATGATGCAGAGGAAGAGGAAGATGATTTGTCGTACCATGATGATGTCCCTGACTGGTTGAGTATGAAGATTTAGGAGTAGGGACGCTTGTGTACATTTCCTGGGCTATGCTACACCACGCGAAGCATCAGGAAAGCGTCACCGCATCTAACTTCCCCTAACCGGTCTAACCGTCCTAACTTGTGCCTAATTCACCTCACTGTCTAACAAAATTGGCCTCTGCGGCCGGCTACATACCTTCAGCAGAGCAGCCATCCGTGTATATTATACCAATACAAATTATACAATACAGCACAGTAACAAATCATTACAAACGGCATAGCGCTAGCCTTGCGAGGCAAATACGTACTACCGCACAAGTTGTGTTGTGTTCCTGCTACAAAAACTTCTGTTGACGAGATCTAAAGGCTTGCCATACATGGGTCAGGACGGGTGCGCGGTCAATCGGGCGGGCGGACAACTGTGCCTACATACGCGAGTGAGTGTTTGGGTGGACAGGCGAGCAGTAGCGCTTACGACCGCTACGTCGTCCTGGGCTGCGGCGCGGGGAGGCTCGCGAGCGCGCTGGACCCGCCGCCGGGCGCGGGAGGCGCTCTGCTGGCGGGCGGAGGTGGAGGCAGCGCTGGAGGTGCACTGGATGCGTCGGCGGAGGGGGGGCGCGGGCGGTGCAGCCGATGGGCGCATTGGCGGGGGAGATAGTGGGGCGGCCGTCGGGCATGATGGTAGGGCTAGCGGGCCGTTAGAGGTGCCGCGCGAGAATGGGGTGCGAGAGGTGCCTGTAGCGGAGCGGGAGAGGGCAAACTACGCATCGGGGAAGCAGCGGCCGCGGGTCAGGGCATGCTGGACAGGGAACGTGTTGAACTTCCGAGTTTTCAGTGTTCTTATCTTATCAGTTATGTACGGATATGGACTTATGTTCTGCGATGTCAGATTACATACGTTCTTTGATGGACTTTGCCTAGATTACGTCATGTGACTTTAGTCCGGATCATTCCATGATATTCCACGACATTCCTTGATGTTTCATGACGTTCCATATCATTCCTTGATGTCCCATCACGTCCTATATCACTCTTTGATGTTCCATCATGTCTCATATTATTCCTGATGTTCCATCACGTTTCATATATCTCTCCACATCAAACTCCGAGTTTTGGCTTACTCATGCTGCTTACCAGCTTACTCATATCCCCAAAACCTCGGACTTAGTGCTTACTGATGAACCACTGATACAGCATGTGACCTGTATCAAATGTGTATATATACTGGGCTGGTTTGCCCTGTAATGATAACGATCCTTCGTCCTCTCCTCTGCCTGCCAGCATAGGATCTTCCCTTTGGGACTGGTCTGTTCACTCACTCATTAGTCCTTCACTGCCACTGGGCTTACTAAGCCTAAAACCTCTTTCTTCAACAGGTTATGAGCCCTGCGCTCTGATTCTTTAATCACCTGCACCCCTCTTTGCGCGCTCCAAAGCCCAACTCTTGAAAGAGTGAGTTGGCAATTTTTGTCCTTTGTTGGACTATTTTTAAGTCGCTGCGTGACATAGTGCCGAAGGCCTTGTCTGAGCGCATCTCTAGGGCAGCCCGAAAAGGCAATTACAAAATTTATCATCCGTCTCGTCGTGAGAGAAACGACGTTGACGAAGACGACTCTAATGTCATCGCCGTACGTCATCGGCATTTGTACGGTCATCTACCCGTCCGTCGCCAGATCGACATCATCCTCGCTCCTACCCCTCGTCACCGCCGCCAAGCCTCTGGCCGCGTAGACACGTCCATTCCTCCCAAGGAGTCCTGCCGCACCTCGCCGGAGCAGCACCTCTTGTATTTGCAGAAGAAAGCGGACGTTGCCGAAGCTCTCGCCGAGACTCGCCGAGCCGAACTCGCTGCTGCTCGTGCCGCTAGCGCCGCTGCTGCCGAGACCAAGGCTTCGCTCATTGAGCGTCTTAGCGGAGAAACTCCCATCGTTCCCACGGCTCTAAAGCCTATCTTCCTGTCCGACTTCCGCAAGAAGTCAACCGCTGACAAAGTCGAGATCCTGTGCAAGCGTCTCCTTGCCGTCCAGAAGCGCCTTCAGCCCCTCTATCGCCACCGTAACCGCCTCTACGCCCGTCTTCCCTTGTTGGATAACTTGGACGATTTTGGCAGGCGTTTCAACTGGGTGCTGACGAATATCGAGGAGGAAGGAACCACGTGGTCTGCAGTCGAATTGAACGACATCTGTTCTGTCTGCGAGCTGATTGCGAAGATTTCCTTCATAAATCTTAGCCAGAATTTTGGCCGCATTATCAAGGACGTAGGGGACTTGTACAAGAACAACTACTTGTACTGGGTAGATAAGCGATTGTAGTCGCATTTTTCTGTATATCTTCGTCCCTAGAATTTAAGCATCACACTGTGGCTTCGTCTCAAGAAGAGACATTTGACCGAGACTCAAATAGTGAAGCATCGAACGGAGTAATTCCACCGTACGATTGCACCGACCATCATCATCTCTACGACTACGAGGAGAACTTTGATTATCATTTTGACATCGAAGAAGATCAGTGGATTAACTGCGACGACGCTAGTTGCCCACATCGCTACGATCAACCTCTAGGTCCAGTTCCAGAAGGATTTTCAACTGGAATATCGGTCGCTCCTTGGCAGGAGAATTTCCTATTTGCTAGTGAATTTTCGGAGTTACCTCCATATCCTGAACACCTAGTCCCGCTCCCTGAGTCGAGACCTCAATCTCCATTCTTCGAGGAATTACCCTTCGAAGTTTTTACCCCAGAACTACCATCCGTCTCACAAGACGAATTTATCCTCCTATCCG